TAGCGCCCCCCGGGCGCGCACCGAAGAGCTGGCGTGGTTAGGGGTCCGGGACGACTTGGGCCAGCGGACACGTTTGCGGGAGTTGACGAGATTGAGAGACCGAGATGGGTGGGCCGAACGTGGTTTCCAGGGGGCGAGGCCGCTAGGCTTGCCAGTTGTGGAAAAATCAGAGTCGTTCCTCCCTTCAGGAACAAGTGGGATCTTAGGGTGCTGTGCGCCCACGAAAAGCGTAGGGGTGGTTCTTCCTGAAAGCTGGCGAGGCGGCGACTGTAAATTGGTGCGGCGTGCGCCGTGATGCAGTGGCCCCCCAAGCCACCCAAAGTGCCGCGGACTCCTACTCCACGTTCTCCCATAGATTTTTCAGATGTGCGAGTTTTGTTTGTTTCAAAGATAAAGCACTTACAACTTCATGAAAAATTACACGTTTTATTCGTATGTTTTCTGTAGGAAATGTTGCATCCGTTCCAACTGTTGGGCAGTTGTGTTGTTAGTGTGATTAGCAGATTTTTCCCCACTTCTTAACGAATTACACTAATTTCGTTGACCTGCCGCATTAGAAGGGGCAGTCAAGCAGAAAGTGAGTGAAGGACTTAGAGAGCAATGTTTTCCCTCTTTGAAGTCGACTTTAGTTGAGCAGCTTTACCAGAGTTACATTTTTTCCTGTTTATTTTCAGTGTTTGAAAACATTTTATTCCCCATGTAAAGTCTCGTCATTTGCGCAGCTAGGGTTCTTTTTAGTCTTCTTTTGAACCATAATAGAGCCTTTTAAATCTTGGGTTTACTGTAAAATGCTCTAGACCTAAGGGTGTTGCGTTCCCCCCCCCCATTTCTTCAGTGTCATTAATAACAGTCGCTGTGAGACTTGAAGAAATTTCAAAGCTCTATTCTAAGTAGATACTATTCAGCTGAAAGTGGCTTGGGCAGAATTGTACTTATTATTTTTGGTTTCAGTAGGATTTTACGGTTATGATTGTTTATCAGCATATTTTTCCTATTGGACTCTCACCTTTATTCCAGGAGAATTACTATCATTAGAGACCATTAAACATTTCTTGAACCACTTGCCTATTTCTTTTTGATATATTGGATTTTCTGAAAACTGAGGAGGCAGGGGAGGTGGCTCAGTAGAATAAGTGCTTGCCTGGATAGGGCAAGGACCTGAGTTCAATCCCCAGTTCCTCAAAAAAAAGAAAAGAAAGAAAAAAAAAAAGTATGAAAACTCCGAGGCAAGTGAACTGTCCCCTTTTACTTACATTTCTTTGTAATCATAGAACCAACCAACATTTTGTCACTAGAGCATTTTCCTAGGTAAATGGGATATTCCAGCCTTCCCTAAGGCTTTGGGAGTAGAAGCCAGACTAATTAGATCTTGTCTTCCACTATTGCATCACTTGGTTACAATGTACATTCTTACCTTGTTGATGCGTCCTTTAAGACACCTCATTCTGATTTCATAAGATTAAAGAAATTTCTTGAGAACATTTTTGAGCAATTTAATAATGTCTAGCTTTTATTATATTTGGTATGACTAAGATGTGACATAAAATTGTTTTTGAATATTTTTTCCATCTTGATTGTCAGAGTAGAAGTGTTATCCCAGGATATCTTGATTCCTCCAAACAATTCCAGCTTTTATTTTCATTATACAGTAGCATTTCAAAGGAATTGGATCCTGGGATATAAATAAATACATTAATAATTTTTCCAGTATTAATATTAATGGCAGTTGTAATAAAACCATCTTTTTTTTTTATAATGGGGATCAAACTCAAGACCTTGTGCTTGCCAGGCAGGCGCTCATCCTGCTGAGCTAGTTACCTGACCCTAATCTTAATATGTTTTAAGATTTTTTTTGTTTTGATACCTGAACTTTATATCTACTTTTAGTTCCTTGAATTTTTCAGAAATAATTTTTCATGGACTTTTAAGAGTGAATGAAAGAGGTGGCCTGCCCCTTAGCTCCGTTCTTTAAGTGGCTGCTTCAACAAAGCAGTCAGGCTCAGGTTGCTGTGGTTGGATCCCCACAACTCAAGCCAGCCAAACCTGCCCTGAAGGCATT